GCTTGCAAAAGGATCAGCTATTCTGACAAGTGTGGCACTCATGTAGATGCACAAAGACAGTGAGGCTCTTCCCTGCCACCCATGTACAAAACTCCCATTAGCGCCTGAGTTTCACACGCACACATCTGAGGGCACAAGAGAACCATTGTGCATCCATTGGCAAATGAGAGGGAGAGATCCAGCAGAGCTGCTTGGCCAGCACCGCCAGATTGTGTCTCAAGACACTTGATGTAATGCTTTAAGACATGTTCATGTGTGACTGGGAGCAAGGGAGGGCTCGTCACTGAGGAGGGAGGACTTGTTCTGCGGTGGGGTAAGCATCTGGGCTTCCTACCACCGCAGTGCGGATGCACCTTACACCCTTGGAGCGCTCTCTGGTTCCTGTAGGACCAAAGCTGTGTGTCTGCGATGGTATGAGAGATGAACAAGTGCTGAATCAAATTTTACCACTCCAAGTGCCTGCTAAACAGGAAATAGATAAGCGGAAATTAAAGCTATTATTCTTGTCTTGTGAACGAATGTCTGCATAACTCCAAGCTGAGAACATCATTTTTACAGAGCAGAAAAGTCTCTTTTCAACAGATGTCTGTTAGATCGAGTTCTTCAATTCTGATTTGTACTGAATAGCACATCTGTAACTTGAAACAGGAGGACCCAAAAGCCAGACCCATTTCAGAGTTTGTTTGTGCTTACTGGAAACTGCACAGTAGAAAGCAGTTGTCGTTTCCAAGTGCGTTCTACGATGTGGAAGAAAGCGAACTAACTACTTTAACCAAGGCAATGGTAAATGAGTGGACAGCCCACTAATGTAGCAGCACCCAGGAATGACAGTTATATTCTGGTAGTACCTGGCTCTTAGCCGACTGGAACTTGCAGCACATAACCTAGCGATACAAGGATGAAAACCAGCATCTTGCTTTTCAAGCTCTCCAGTTATTCTACAGGTAAAGGGCATTTCTCCACTCTTAGAATTTCCAATAGGAGGAAAAAATTAACATTACCTTTGTTTGCAAAGACTCGAGGAGTTTATGCATTTGGTGAGAGCATATCCAACAAGGGGATGTTTTCTTTCCGAAAGGCAGACAACTGTTAACATGTGACTCTTTAAGAACGGAGGAGATAAGAGGCTCTCGTGTTAGGGTTCCTCCAGCCCTTGCCCCCACATTACCCGACAGCCCAGCTACATTTTCTCTAAATCCAAAGTCTGAGTGGAATTCTCACACTACATCTAAGACAGACAAGTGTTACAGGTATTTGAAAGCACACGCTCTCTTGCTCTTCTCTTGTAGCACTTCAGCAGCACAGTTCACTCAGTGTGATCAGAAGCCTGATCGTCAAGATTGATGTTGTTTCAATGGCATTTTTCCTGGGAGATGCAATGACGGGTGGTTTGGCACAGGTGCAGCTCACGGGTTCTGTTTCCATGCTCAGGCTGGGAGGTTCTTCTGCTTGTTCACAGCGTCCATGAGCAGGCGTACGTAGGATGTTAACAGATCATCCATCTTGTAACCCTGCCGGAAAGGAAAACAAGTCTGAAGTCTCTCACAGAGCTCCAGCAGCAAAAATAACGATAATTTCCTCCCTGGTTGATGTTCTTGGTTCTTCCCTCCATGGACATCTCTGCCACCAGCTATCAATGATTTATCTATTCCTCCCTCTGCTCTTCCCATCATAGATTTATCAAACTTTACAGAGCGTAGCTCTACTGTCTCCTTGGCATTCAAACTCACATTTTATTCTATCAATTGACATCTTGTGCTTAGGAATCCAAGCTTTTCGGTGAGAAAAGGTATGGTATCTTTACAAATTGAGCTTTAAATGTCAATATAGTGATGCCTATCTGAGCCTGTGGACAATCTGAAGCCAATTCTTAAAAAGGAGGTACCACTTACTGAAAGGTGTAAAATCTCACGAGGATGGTGTTCCTGCCATGCATGGATCAACCCATGTGAGACAAAAAAGCCTCTTACATAGTTTTGTGGGGAAATGCAGTCTTTTCTTAGTGTCTCAGATAGACAGAATTTTGATGTATGGGAAGAATTTGGGAATTTACTATTTTTCCTTATCTCTGTGGCTTACATCTTTGCATGAGATAGCATTAGATAGCACTGAACCAGTTCTAAACTGCACTTTTATTGACACAGCAGTGAATGCTTTTTGTGTCTGCACTGGTTTTAACATCAATTTTTGCACCGTTGTTTTGTAGCAATTCTGGATGTCAAGGAAAAATCAGTTTGTTGTGTAGAAGTTGACAAAACTCGTCTTACCAGAGATGTCTCACATAAGATCCGGCTTCCTCGTACCAGGTTCCCTATTGTCATGTGGAAGTATGTGCTCCCACTGCTCCAGTTGGAGATCTTGTTGAACGGGTAGACTGTTAAAATGTCCTGGAAGGGGAAACCAACTGAGCTGTAGGACATTTCTCAAATGAAAGCAGGCTGTCATGTCAGAACGCCTGCAAAGCCACAGCATTCTTTTTCTTTCCCACTTCATTTATAAACACAGTGGATCAAGGTAGGTCTTGCATCCAGACTAGTGCTGTATTGTATTTTCACCAAGCCAGTGAGTCTTAATCACTCTGATGAGACTCTTTTATTATGTATTGATCGTTGCCTTAGCACACTGCCATTATATTTACAGTAATCTAAAACTCACTGGATATCCGTAACTGTTTTGGTAAGACCAGACTGTTTGTCAGGGTCAGAGAGCTGGTAAACACCAATCATTCCACTTGATCTTGTAGGCAGCTTGGGTTTCCTGCAGAGCATTTTGCTGAAGCAGGTTCCCTTGAGCACTGCCCATCCATCTGCCTGATCTTAGCACTTTGTCCAGGTCCATCATAGAAACTGCAGTAAGTGATTGAGGGAGTAATGTTTTCTTTGGTTTCACACAGAAAATGCATAGAGGGGCTCACCCATGCCTACCATACAGGGAGAAGGTCCTGTTCCTAAATTAGCATGGTAAATGAAATCTTTCTTTAGACTCCTGAGAAGCAACTGTTACCTTTGTCTTCTGATGTATCAGTGAGACTCCTTGCTTGTTGATTGCAATCAGCACAATCTCGGGGAAATTTGGCTCTGAGGTTTGCTGTAAATGAGCAACAGAGCAAGATGAGCAGGAAATGAAAAAATTACCTGGGTTAGGTGCAGAGTGACTGTTAACAGTGTCCAGTGCTTTACCAAATAAGCACTGGGACAAAAAGCTCTTCAATATAACGTAACTATTGCTCAGGATGACTTTTTTGCCATATATTGATGACTTGGGCAGCTGCTACTTCAAAGTCCAATCATGTCCATTATTTCCTAGGCTATCTGATAACAGGCTTCATGGTTGGTTGCAAACTAGGAGAAATCAAAGGCAGCAAGTGGGAAGTGATTCCTGGAGGTGTCCACTGCAGAATGAGAGGATTGGTACAGCTCTGTTCTGAGGAAAGAGTCCCCAGGGATAACAAGATTTGGCAGCATTTTGTAATGGAGAGCAGTGACAGGACAGTTAAGTATCCATGTAACTAAAAGACCCCATCTACCACATAGTTGTAATACTAAGTATTAAGGAGGGATAAAAAGCCCTATCTTCCCACTTTCAAGAAACTGAGTTTTCCTCAGTAGATGATGGGAAGCCAGCTTTATAATGCATTCTCATTCACACAGACCTGGAATTACAGTCCTGCAGTGCTGGTCTGCTACCAAAGCCATTCAAACAGGCCTTTCAACCTACCTTCACCTCAAAGAAGGCTGATCCAAACGTTGGCCACCGGTGTATCATTTTTAAGAAGGCAATCTTGGCCTCATCCACAGTTTTCCCTTCATGTTTGCTGTATGCTGCTATAATGCTCTGTTTGGACAAAAAGATACAAAGACTATTCAGCTGCACACAGGCAGGTTTCCAGTGTTAGCACTAAAGACAGAACCAGACCATCCCTGTTTTCTGTTTCTCTACAAGGTCCTCAAATCCCCAGTCCCATCACTGGCTTTCTCTGAGTCTTCTGGGCACTGAAAGTAGATCAGTATCTCCAAGAAAGATGCATATTTCAAATCAGTTGTCCAGACCTGCAGATACCTTTCAGAGGTTTGGTAGAGAGGATGAAACATCTGGATTTTAAGAGGCAAATCCACACCATCCAATAGTGCTTTCAAAGACCCATCAAAAGTCAGATCAAAAAAGCAGCACGATTAATGAAAGGTGCCGTTCTTACCTTCTTCCACTCGTCTGGTGAGGTTGCTCGCAGCAGATTGTCTGGCACCAGCTCCTTCAGGATTCTGGGGATGGTTGCCAGGTGTGTGCGGTCGTTGTTGAAGCGCACTTTGTAAATCAGCCCTGCCAGCTGGACGGCTTCGTCCTTGGAACACTTGTGGTAGCCTCTGAGGTACTTTGGCAGCTCCTGGAAGAGACGAATGCTGAATCCCAGCAGGATGGGCTGAAGCAAACACTGACTCACGCATTCTAAATCTGTGAGGTCAGGATGGGAGTCTTGCCACAGCCCAAGGACATCCCAAGAACCTTGGAGTCCTTCTGGAGATCCTCTGGATGATCTTTAAAGGTCCTTTCCAACCCAAACCACTCTAGGATTCTCCATACAATGACACAGCAAGACGAGCACCTCCAGGGAACAGTTAGGTAAGGGAGCTGTGCTCCTAACATAAGCAATGGAGCCAAGGTGCCCATTGGAGCTGTGCCCTGCAGGGGCTTTACACTGGAGCCTCTCTAGCACAGGCCTTTGGGGAGGGAGATGGCAACACTCCCACAGGTTTACTTTCTCGGGGGTATTTCTTGGATCACATTACCTGCTCTTACATTTATGCTTTAGGGAGCTGGTTACCTGGTGGTAATGAAAAATGGAATCAGCTTTCAGGTCCTTCCCAGGAGTTACATTCAGCCACAGCTTTCTCATGAAATACACCTCGTAAGCCACAGACATAGTAGCCCCTAAAGAAACAACACCTTGTTAGTATTCTTGTAGCGCTCTAGAGTTCTGCAGGTTTTAAATGACCTGTGAGTTTCTTCAGAAATGTCATTCCGGTTTTAGTAGTAACAAACAAAATCACTAGCAAAAAAGTACAAAAGGCCGTTCTGGATGCCCAAGAAAGTAATTGGTTGTCAGGTCTGGATGCTGGCCATGCAGTGATCTAAGGTGCAGGCTCTTCAGAGGTGGAGGAAGAAGTTGAGGGTGACAGCAGTGCTATTTGTTTGTTACTCCTTGGTGCTCAGACAGCTGCCCGCCCATGTGCAGCACACCTGGATGCTGTTCTGCTGATGCAGGTACATTCCCTGCTGGCTATGTTTACAGAAATAAACTGGGATTTATTGCACCCATATCTCTGTGCTGTTATTTTTCAGAGCTCCTAGCAGCTGCTGGTAGAAGAGGGAAGTTACAAAGTCTTAGATACACAGATAGTGCTTCAGGAAGTTGAAGCTCAGCTGTCTTGAAATAAGCAAAGGTCAGGATAAATTTGAAATTTGAGTAGAGTTTGATATAGATTTCAAAATGTGTGTTATACATGGGGGTCAAGTGCAACGAACTGCCGTCATTAGGGCTATATTGTTTTATTCTAACAAGTGTTTCCCTGGCAATACAACTTGTGCTTTGGTGTCACCAGGTAATAACCCAGACAGCAATTTTCTAACAATCCAAGGAATGGGGGTTGACGCTGTGTAAAGAACCTATGTACATGTGTTGGCTGATACCTGATCATTGGATGAACCTTGGACTGTAAAGAGGATCAGCCTATCTAACATGGGCATCCAGCTGTGTGTTTTGGATGTCTAAATGTCTGTGGTACCAATGTAAAATCTCTGGAGGGATCCCCCTGCAAAGATGTCCTGGTGTTTCTGAGAGCCAGTGCTTGGCTGCATCAGGTCACTGGATCTTACTGTTGGTGCAGGCAGTAAATGGTGTATGTAGAAACAAAAATATCATAAGGCTGTGTCTCACACCTCCTAAGAGGGAGTAAATCCTACTGGATAAATCTGCTGCTTCTCCAGTTCAACACAGCATCTCATGCTGCTTCTTACCATGCTGGTATTCTCCTTACCGTCTTTCCCTGGTTTGTTCCTCCTGTTCCAGTCTGTCACCTGCCTCAGTGAGTCGAAGAAGTAGTCAGCTTCGTTCTGACTGATCACCTGGAAGAGGCCAAGCAATGATGGGGGGAAAGGAGGGATTAGCACATCAGCTAAAATACCACCTGTCCCAACATACCCAAATATCAGGCTGAATTTTCTTTTGCTGTCTTTAGTGAGAGAGCACAGTTATGTCAGGAAGGACAGAGGCAAGGGGAAGGAAGTAGAGAAGTAGGAGAAGGAAGGCTCAAATGATTTACATTTCATATGGGGGTTTTTATTGCATCTGCTGTGGCTTTTTTCTTTCCAACCTGCTTATTGAAGTCATGCTGTAGATGCCTACCTTATTTTTAGCCATCTCCTCTTTGTAAAATACTGGCACATACCAGGTTTCTCTTTTCAGGAACACAGCACATCAGAAACTCGCTGTGCTTGGACTCTGTGCTGCTTTTGCCTTGATTACAGTTCTAGAGAGAAGGGAGCTCAGCGGGGCATCCAGCCCAATCTTCAGCTTAGGCAAGGCAAGCTTGAGAAACCAGAGAGCAGTCACCTGGTGGTGCTGGTCAGCCACTGCCCTCCCTGATGTAGTAACGACCTACTCTGTTGCTTGGCTTCATATGTGGTTGTTAGGTGGTCTGGTAAATAAGTGAGGGGGGGGAAACAGCCTGGTTACCCTGCCATGGTCGAGAGGAGTTACCTTGTCTGCAATCTTCACAAAGAGACTGAAACCTTCCCAGGAGCTCAGCTGCAATTTGGAAGCAATGTTCTGACACAAGGTCCGGATTTTGGTGTTTGTTCCCACATCGAATGTCTGTGAGATAACAAGACCGTTGTTACGCAGAGGAAGAAACGAGAGCGTTGAACGTCTTGAAACGTGCTCCTGCATGAACACATCACGGCTGGGAAAACAAGTAAGTTCTCACCTGTGCTGTTTCATTGGGGAAGCAAATCTTGTGTGAAATCTTAGTGTTGTTCTGTAAGATGGCCTCAACCTCCACAGGATGAGGTGCCCACTTCCTGGAGCCACTCCTGGAAAATGCCACCACCATCATAAGAGAGATCAGTGCTTGATGTTTAATCCTTGAGGAGCTGAACAGTGTTCCACCCAAACAACAGCCTCCATCCAAAATGCTAATACTGTGCGACGGGGTGGGCTCCAATGGACCTTCACCCCAGTGCAAACTCCGTGTATTAACAGCAAGAAACTGAGGGTCTAATTAAAGATTTAAAGTCTGTTCTGATCTGCAAGGAAGTTGCAGGAATAATGCACCTTCATAGCCAGTACCATTACCCCTTCTACGTATTCAGCCACACTTTTCCTTACTGTTACTGCAGTGTGAAGATAGCAACCACAAGGAAGAAAAACGTTTTATTTAATTCTTGTATCAGCAAAAAGATCCATTCAGATACAAAATGAGTTTCAGCCCAGGAGGCGAGGGCCACTAGAAGCATTAAATTTTATGTAAGAGCTGGTGTGTAATCGCTGACTCGAGGCACTTAAGCTGTACAGTCTTTGAAATTACACCTTGGAGCAGAGCTGCCTTTTAAAGCAAAGGAACTAGCCCTGAAGTCTGAGTCATGGAAAAACCTTGGCAGAGTTCAAGTGAGGACAAATCTAGCACATTACCTTCTGGGGCTGGTATTTTCCTGCCCTCAGTGGCTCAGAGCAGGCTGTTTGGAGATTTTGTACATATCTTATAGGGTCAGACTCTCACATTGGGCCAGTCTGGCCTCAGCTGGGAATTCATGGCCAAGGCAAGATCTGCTTAACACCCATCAGGGTGTGCCCTGACTGCCTGGCCAGGAGCTTGGGGATGAAGCTGTTGAGCTGTTTATGGAGGAAAAGGGGTACCCCTAGGGCTCGGTCTGCCACTCCACATGGTGTAGGTCAGTCCTTCAGGCTGCCTGCTCTTCCCTTTCCAATGACAGCAGGTTGCTTAGAGGGAGAAATTGGGCTAAATCATCATTGTAGATCCCTTCCAACTGAAGTTGCTATGCGATGTGATGTGATGCTATGCTATGCGTATGTGATGCTGTGCTATGCTATGCGATGCTATGCTATGAAGAGCAGGTACAGGTCTAATCTTAGGAATAGAAATGCTTTCAGAAAACAACATTTTTCTCTGTTCCTCTTCCCATCCCCCAGGCTGCAGATCCAGGGCAGTGTAGCAGAGAGAATCCTTCTCCCAAACAGCCCATGCTGCTTTCCCCTGTTTCCCCGCTCTAAAGAAGCTCTGTAGAGCTCAGCAGGGCTTAGTGCGTGAATAGCCCATGATATAGGGAGGCAGGACATTTTCAGTCTTCTCCATAGAAAAACACAATGAATAGCATTCCTCGCCACGCGTTTTTCACACACTTCAAAGGCGAGTTCAACGCGCAGTGACATTTTCCCAGGAGTGCCAAAACATCCACTGCAAGGGGGACAGCCAGTGTTAGCATTCCCCTCGAGCCAGGCCCACAGACCAAACCCAGAGCCCAGCCTAAGAGAAAGGGAAAGGTGGAGGAGCTGGAGGGAGAAATTGTTGGGCAGCTTCTTTCCTGAGGAGATACGTGGCAGGCAGGTGGTAACTCACAGCAGCATCACAAGGGGGAAGGATGGGATTAACCTTGGTGTCAGAGCTCTGTGTTGTCAGCGTCAAGCTGGGTAATTCCAGTGTCTAGAGGAATCTAGGGAAACCTTTCCCCTGCAGCTCAATTGAATCCTCCTGAAAACCAGGTAGCCCTTCCCCTGTCTCTGGTCACATCAAGTTCATTACACCAAGAAGCCATTCAGAGGCTAGGGAAGCTCTGTGGACTGGAGGCCTTACTGCTTCAACCCTCACCAGGACAGGGGTAATGCCCAGAGCACTGAGGAGTGCCCTGGTGTGAGCATCTGTGTCTCAGGGCTATGCTCATTTGGGTTTCTTCAAAGAATAACAATTGATTGTGTTGATCCTCTCTTCCCAGCATGGATCAGAAAACCAGCAGAGCCACGTCAGCACCCTGCAGATGTCAGTGACTTCAGTGGAGCCGACTTGCTATGAGTAAAACCTAGCATTTTTCACTGCACACATGCAGCTCTGAGAGTCAGCAAACTCAAGTCTATTCCTCAGGCACATGTAAGGGAGATAAGGAGATGCTGCCTCACCAAAGGAAAGCAAGGTGAGGACCTCATCAGTGGCAACTCAGGATTTCATTTCAAGCTGCATGCCCTTAAGCATGCTTGAAATACTCAGCTCTGAGAGTCATCTGATGCTGAGCTTTTAAAAATGTTGCTAACTCTAGGAAAGAAAAGAGACCTCTCCTAGCAGTTCAGAGTTCACGAGAGAATTAAAAATAATGATCATTTAAAAGAAAAGGATGTAAAGAGAAGAAGGAAGGTAAGAGTCTCAATATTTTTGACACGATTCATGATTTTTGACCACTCTGTATGCCAGGTTGTTTACCTCATCACTGTCTGAATCCTCCTGCTGCACTCCGAGGCCAGTGGCTCTTTCTGACGTGTCTCAATGAACTTCTGGGCATGTTTCAGTAGCGACTTGCTGGGTGGGAACAGGCCAGTGCAGAGCCAAAGGAGCTGCCAGCCCTTGGTCACACTGTACCTGTGAACACAAAGCAGACGGTTCTTCTATAGCCATATAATTGTTTGACCACACACCAGCTACAGGGAAGAGAAACACACTCCCATCATGGTACGTTGTGCCACTCACCAGAGAGCTACAAATCAACAGAGCCCTTTTCTGTGGAACGGCCACAGACCCTGTGTGAAGCCCATACTAAATCCTGGCTGATAAATATTCACGACAGTCGCAAACCTCATGAATAAATACAAGCTCCAGTTTAACAGCAGTGGCAGCAGTGACCCTGGTGCCACCCCCCTGGATAGCCACTGTCCATTTGCTGTCCAGGTTCCCAGTTCTTTGGCTTGTGCTTTATCAGCTGCTTGTATTCACCTGCCCTCTGTGCTGGCCAGCTTTGCTGAGAGCACTAGTGCTGTGCTGGTCATTGACTTTCCCTTACATGTGCTCCTGGTCTGAAAAATGAGCAGGCAGACAATATCATGTCATGAGGTAGTTACAGTTCTTAAAACCTCTGGATCAAGTCTGTACAATTTTCAGATAAAGGCAGTTCCTGCAGCCTCTGGACCTGTGCAATCCACCAGTCAAAGCTCTGCTGACACCTCACCCTCACCAGTAAGCAATGCTCTGCTGCTGGGGGGTCAGTCATTCTGCCCAAGCCAGGAGCAGAACACCTTCAGCTGCGTCCCAGGGATTGCTCTGAAATGCTGAATGGCACAAAGTGGTTTTGGTTGGGAAAGCCAGCAGGTCTGCCTCTGAATGGGCACCAGACCCTGCTGAATGAAGAGGGCTTGGCTGCTTTATTCTCATTTTCTTTTCTAATTTTGCAGATGAACACGTACTATTTTAATCCCATTTATGCTCTGTAGATCAGTGGTGGTTGTGTCTGTGTGAGAGCATGACACGGTCCACAGGCCAGTAGCCTGGGAAGGAGGAAAGGTTTGTTGCTTTGGCTGTTGTAATGAAAATCTATGGAAATAGCCACCTTTCAAGCATTGTTTTTTCCACATCAGCGATCCCTCTCAAAACAGTGAGTTACTAAATTGGTAGGAGTACATCAGGCCTGCCACTGGCACCATGGTTACAGACCATGCATTAAATAGCCTGTAAGATTTACTGCATCCAAGGAAATTTGCCATTTAATAGTGACACAGGTAGTAAAAGTTCCACCAAGTTTCTGATCTGTGGAACAGTAACGAAGAAAAGAAACAGACAGAAGCTCTGTCTCTAACTTTTGCAGTGACACTGCAGCTGGAAACAGACAAACCATTTTGTTAATAATTAGTATTATTTTAAGCTTCCTTTTGCAATGCAGTTCCTCTGGAATTAGGTCAAATTATCTTTTTTTGGGTGGATAAGGAGAACACTGATCTGTTTTAGCAACTTATGCATAGGCTGGGGCCTGGGAAACCCATCTGTTCTGCAAGCCAGTTGTGTAACGTAATTAATATAAGTACTCCAAAGTATTCACTGGTCATAAAAGATCTAGTGTGAAGTGTGTGCTTATAGGAGGGAAATACTGTCATTGGAAAACTTAAAATAATTGGAGGCTTGGCAGCACAGTCACTGCAAGCATTCAAGACCTCTGTGCAGAGCCATATTCCTGCT